CTGGCCCGGTGATCTCGTCGGGCCTTGTTGGAAGCTCGTCCGTCGGTGTAATCTCTGTCCAAAAGTAGGGTGGATCCCAGCGCCACACAGCGTCATGGTCTCCGAAGTCTGGCAACGCGATGGTTTAGGGCTTAGGGTTAAGTGCGACAACACGTACTGAGCTTCCTGCCTGGGTCCAGGCCCCCATAGATGACACTGGGCAGGTAGGCTTTCTCACTGCTGCGGGCGATGGCAAACTGGACGCTCGCGAGCGGCAGGGACCGCACACTTCCAGAGAGATCTTCCCAACCCCGGCCGAAAGCCTCGTTGCACCAACTGCTGCACAGCAGTTTCGACATGGACACATATGGCCGAGGCAAGAAACCAGCTATGGCTAAGAAGCTGCTGAGAAGCAGGGCCCGGACGGGGCTCTCCCACAGCAAAGGTCGAAAGGTGGAATGTCTTGCACTTCACCTTATCCGCCCTGCCAAGCGATACCGTCATGAGATCCACTCGAACCCAAGCCTTCCTTGACAGGATTTCAAATTAAAGTGTTTCTCGACTTGCGAGCTGTCTGCAAGTCTCCGACCCACCCTAAATGAAAAAAACCCTAATTAAACCCTATGGCTCCTCTTCGCGTTCCAGGACCAGCACACCTTGGTGATTTTCACGTCCTTCGATGCGACCCCTATCTCCGCCATGAGGCTCACGCCGGCCTTCGACAACATGAGGGTTTAGGGTTTTAGTGTCCATGCATGACTCCATGGCAAGACAGTGACAGCAGCCAAGCCTCCGAAGAGACCGGCAAAGTGAACTCGATAGGCTCCGTGAGGTTCTCGACAGCTATAGGGTTGCCGTTCTCCTCCAGGAAAGAAATGGTTGTGCCAGAGGCTGCATCAATCAGCACGCTGGAGTCGTCAAGCTGGACGACAGATCCATTGGCACCCGTCGGGCCCACTGCCAAAACCAGCGTGCTCACGCCGGCGGACGCGGCGATCTGTTGCAAGACGCTGCCGGGTACTGACACACTGCTTGTGGGACTTTCGACTTCAAGTGTTTCGTTCTCCGAGATTTCGTTGACCCTGACCAGAGTCACTTGTACCGGCTCTCCCCTTGATGTATTGACAAGAATGTTGGCGGACCCGTTGCTGGAGTTGCTGGAATTGAGCAAAGCTGTTAACGCGGACTGCACGGCCGAAATCTGATCCTGCTCAGCCTCTTGAATCTCCTGGTCGCTCTCCTCTAGATCGCTTGGTAATGTGGTCGTCGTGGTCACCAAGTCCTGCGGGGTCAGACGAACTCAGTGCTGGCTTGAGCGCCAAAGCTGTGGAGCTTCAAACGGCCTTGACCACAGTTGTTGTCGTTGTGGTCGGAACCTGCACCAGTGGACGCTTGGGTCTACAATGCACCAGGTCCCTGAAAACCCTACACGCTGAACCCTAAACCCCAAACCCTCAAGCCCCTGTAACTTGAAATTATTCAAAAGTCCAAAAACTCCTCGAAACTTTCCCCGGACTTGAACCCTGAAGAATATCACCGACACTGCAGCTGCCTAGGATTTGCAGCGTTTGGTTGCACTGCACGTGTTACACGGGTGAGCGTGACAAGCGTGATACCCAGACTTGAAGCATGAAACGCAAGTAAAATCGAAACTCGAAACTTTCCTCGAAACTTTCCCTGGACCTGAACCCTGAATAGAATCAAAACTCGAAACTTCCTCCAAACTCCTCCCCGGACCTGAACCCTTGATAATTTCAGTAAACCCTAAACCGCATGGTGGCATGGCTGGTTGTTGGGGCTGCGGCTGGTGTCGTGACATCCTCTGCAGGCAGCAGGCACAAGGAGTTGATCCGAGCGAGGCTTCACCCACGTGATTTGCAAAAAAAACAGATTTAGGGTGTCGTGGGGGTTGCTACCACAAAGAAGTCAGTATACCCGACAGTAGGATCCCCTTTTCATGAAGGTAAGCTGTAGCCCCCAACCTCAATTTGCTCAAACCCCAAGCCCCGTGCAGGACACAAAGCTCGTCCTGTCGAGGGCCGTAGTAGCCGTTAGACTGGCCACGGCCACGACGCTTGAAACGCCATCCAGTGATGGCCTCAGCGACAGCTTTTCAGGGTTTCGACGGGGGTCTTAGAGGGAGTTTAGGGAGTTTAAGGTAAACCCTTTAAAGAAAATTGCGACAGGCATATGGGATGTCGCCTCGGCCTTGCAACGAGGTCTCAAGAATTCGGGGGGGATGTGAGTGCGTGTGGGTTGGAACCCCCCAGAATTCTCTCGTGTGAGAGCCCTTCTTGGAGATCACAGCATCTGAGGAAGGCAGCTCCCGGGATGGAGAGTACTTGGGATCGAAATCCTCACGACTGCTGTCGTTTCAGAACAGCAAATTGAAAATCATATGCAAGAATATTTCTTATATACAGTAATGTTCAATAAAATACAACAAAATGGAATAATATACAAGAATACAAGACCATGCAATAATATATTTTTTGGCTTTACCTTCTAGGATATAGTGTTTGAGCTGTAGGTCTCTTGCTATTTCCTTAACCGTGTATGTCTGTTCGCTCCACTGATTACGACTTTCCTTTCTTGAAGTCATGTTGCCCTTTCCTTTTACAAATACTTTCACCTTATCCCCGACTTCTACCTTCGGATATTTTCTTAAATACTTTTCTTTCAATACCGAATTTGCCTTCACTTTCACCGCGTTCTCGTCCTTATGTGCTTCGTCTGGTGTCATATCCGTTGTTGTGTGTTTCATTGGTTCATTATATTTGTTTAATGCTGTTTGTAGTAATATTGTCCACGCACCTTTAGCAAAAAGATGGTTTTCCTGAGGCAGACCAGGCCAAAACCGTCTTTTTACGTGGGAAAAGTTGGTTTTTCCATGACAAACCATCTTTTTTACGAGGCAAAACCAAAAAAAGCATCTTTTTCAAAGTCCCCCCCATTCACTAAAAAAAGATGGTTTTTTGTTTTTTTGGTTTTGCCTCGTAAAAGATGGTTTTTCATAGAAAAACCAACTTTTCCCTCGTAAGAAGATCGTAAGAAGATGGTTTTCCTGAGGCAGACCAAGCCAAAACCATCTTTTTACGAGGGAAAAATTGGTTTTTCTATGAAAAACCATCTTTTTACGAGGCAAAACCAAAAAAACCATCTTTTTGAAAATCCCCCCCCCATTCTCTAAAAAAGATGGTTTTTTTGGTTTTTTGGTTTTGCCCGTGTCGGCGTCCAATCCTGTGGTCCGTGTGGGGTCTGTTTTGTCAAGAGACATCCACTGAGAGTAGCAAAACAAGGTCCGTGTGGGGTCTGTTTTGTCAAGAGACAGTCATTGAGAGTAGCAAAAAACGGCATAGGGCACGAGCGGGTTTTAAACAGTATTTACAAGGGAAACGGCCTCACGGTGGGTCATGGGGGGGGTGTGTCCATATATATATATATGTGTACGAGGAACCTTCCTGTATTATGTGACCATGCGTCTCTTCTGAACTATTCAAACCTAGAGGGTTCGAATAGTTTGAATAGTTTGGGGGTCCGGCCTGGGCCAAACTATTCAAACTATTCAAACTACGGCCTCGTCCGCTTCTAGGGGTTTTGGGTTGTCACGGTCTCGTCCACTTCTAGGGGTTTGGGGCTGTCATGGCTTTGTCCGCTTCTAGGGGTTTGGGGCTGTCACGGTTTCGTCCGCTTTTACGGGTTTTGGGCTGTCACGGTCTCGTCCGTTTCTAGGGGTTTGGGGCTGTCACGGTTTCGTCCGCTTCTCGGGGTTTTGTGCTGTCACGGTCTCGTTCGTCCACTTCTAGAGGTTTTGGGCTGTCACGGTCTCGTTCGCTTCTGGGGGTTTTGGGTTGTCACGGTCTCGTCCGCTTCTAGGGGCTTTTGAGCTGTCACGGTTTCGTCCGCTTCTGGGGGTTTTGGGCTGTCACGGTCTCGTCCGTTCTAGGGGTTTTGGGCTGTCACGGTTTCGTCCGCTTCTCGGGGTTTTGTGCTGTCACGGTCTCAGACCGTCCACTTCTAGAGGTTTTGGGTTGTCACGGTCTCGTTCGCTTCTGGGGGTTTTGGGTTGTCACGGTCTCGTCCGCTTCTAGGGGTTTTTGAGCTGTCACGGTTTCGTCCGCTTCTGGGGGTTTTGGGCTGTCACGGTCTCGTCCATTCTGGCGGTTTTGGGCTGTCACACTGCACTAGACTGAAGACTGCAGGGGCCCGCCAATGTGTGGGTGTGGGTGTGTGGGTGCGTGCGTGCGTGGGTGACATCGTTTTTGGACCCATTAAACCCTCTAAGTGAACCCTGTACACATTAAAGGGTTTAGGGTTTGAAGTGTATCTAGGGTTTAGAGTTTAGGGCTGGGGGAGTGGGTGCGGGGAGATGCGGATGAGATGCGGGGAGGGTCAGGCCCAAGTGCGGGGGAGTCCAGGTTTTCGATTGTTTGGGTTTTGAAAATGCGGAAAACCTGGACTCCGCGGCGGCCGCTTGCCTGGAGTCCGGGGGCACATGAGAGATTGCAGGGGAGTGGGGAGGGGTCAGGCCCAAGCGCGGGGGGAGTCCAGGTTTTCGATCGTTTGGGACCTGCAAAGGCTGAAAATCTGGACTCCCCCGCAGCCGCTCGTCTGGAGTCCGGGGGCAGCGGGCACAGTACAGACTGCCCCCCCAACCCCGCGGTTGACTCCCACCCAAAACAAAAGATTGCTTGCCTTTCCTTCCTCCCCCCGCCGTAAAAAGCTGTAAAAAAGCTAACCATCGCTCCAAAACATTCTTGCGGGGACGTATCGGACTTTCGCAACGAGGCCCAAACGAAACGTCCCCAAAACATGTTTTTGGGGACGTTTCGTTTTGGGCCCTTCTTTCGTGCTTCGCAAAGGGACGCAAACGAAATGTGTCCAACACATTCTTTGACGTCGTTTCGTTTTAGCATTTTTTGTCCTTCGTGAACAGGCCCAACGAAACCTCCCCAAAGCATGTTTTTTGGAACGTTTCGTTTGGGCCCTTTGTTCGTGCTCGCAAAGGGACGCAAACAATGTCTCCAAAACATTCTTTTGGGGGCGTGCAAAGAGGCCCAAACGAAACGCCCCAAAGACATAAAGACATGCCCCAAAGAGGTGCATGGTGCTCCGACCCAAATGCGGGGAGAGACCCGAGGACGGGTAAAACAGGTTTAAATTTTGAACCGTTTAAATCGTTTAAACACAGTCGCGCGTGTTTAGTGCTTTTTTTGTTTTGTTGTGCGTTTTCCTGTGAAGGTTTTTACAAGCACGGGTGCCGGCCCTCGATATAACAGTGGCCTGCTTTTGTGGAAGCGTGAAACGCGCGTGAAAAAGGTGGGTTGGGACGCAAACGAAATGTCTCCAAAACGTTCTTTTGGGGCCGTTTCGTTTTAGGGTTTTGTTTGTGCTTCGCAAATTCGCAAAACAACTTAGACGAAACGTCCCAAAGCTTTCGGGACGTCTCGTTTTGGCATTTTTTATAGGGTTCGGAAGTATGGGTTTAGGGTTTAGGGTGGTTTAGGGTTTAGGGCGTTTTAAGAAACATGAAACAACCCCGAAAACCCTTTTTGTTTTTGAGACATTTCGTATGCGTCCATTTGTGAAGCATGAACAAAAGGAAACGGCTTTGCGAAGCAGAAACAAAACTCCAATGCCAAAACGAAACGTCCCAAAGAACGGTTGCACGAACAAAAGGGCTCAAAACGGAAAGTCCCCAAAAACATGTTTTGGGGACGTTCGTTTGGGCCTACCGTATGGCTTGGGCATCCTTAAGACAGGACTTTTCAGGCACAGAGAGCCACGGGAAGCTGCGGGAAGCTATGAGAGGCCTGACTTCTATATGCATTCCCGAGACTTAACGGTCGGAAGACCGTCAGGGCTTGGGAATCCTTAAGACAGGATATGTGAGAAGCAGTCACAGGTGGGGAGATCTGCTGCCTTCGACCGTTAGGGCTTGGGCCTGGGAATGCTTAAGACAGGGCATTTCAGCCACAGAGAGCATTCCCGAGACTGAACGGTCGGAAGCCGTCACAGGTGAGGGAGTTTGAGCTTCAGAGCTCCAGAAAGGCTTGCGCTGTATGTGAAAAGCGTGCTCTGTGTATTAAATGGGGCGCTGGGGGTACCTCGCACAGTTCTCAAAAACCTTTCATTGTTTGCTTAACAACCACGCTTTTTGTATTAAATGGGGTGCTGGGGGTACCTCGCGCATTTTCAAAGAAATCGAAAAAAACTGCTGTTCCTGTATTACATGGGGTGCTGGGGGTACCTCACCGCCCGCGCATACAAGCGCTGCGTTGCATTGCGTAACACGCAATGCAACGCTCCGTATTAAATGGCTGTATTGAATGGCCCAGGGCCATTTAATACAGAGCATATGCTCGGCATTTAATATGGCCATTCCCAAGGGGGGTCGAATGAAATATGGTGTAATGAAATTATATAATATGTATGTATGTTCCATACCACAATGTCATACTGCATTATCTTGTACCAAAATACAATAAGGAACATGATACAATACGAGGAAATATAGCACAGCGAACCCTAAACCGTAAACCCTAAAAAGTGAGATTTGGGGGGGGGGGGAGGGGCGGGGAGCCGAGCCCCAGGCACCTGGGGTTGCTCCGGACAGCTCCTGCATGCGGCGCATCTGACAACCGTGGGCAGATGACGGCCGTGCCATGGTTTACGGTTTAGGGGTTTTGGGTTTAGGGCTTTAGGGTTGAGATTCAATTATGCCCCGCTCCTCAGGCGCCACTGCCGCGAGTGGCAGAATCAGCAGCGAAGCAACCAAGGAAACGACTGGATGCATCAGGAGCGATATACGAATGTTACAGAGCGATTGGATTTCCGCACTGACTGGAGCCTAAAGCTGCACGACATCATATCATACACTATAGCGTAATATGGTATAATATAGCATAATGTCATATGATATAGTCTAATATGGTATAATAGATTCGAATGAAATCCGCCGAGGCCGGTCTGGAGAACCCGTAGACCAGATTTGTTGGCGATCAGGGGTTTTTTTACGCGGAATGGGCACCCTTCCAGGGCGACCAGTGTCCCATGCTGGGGCTTGTTTTGTCCCGTTCCGGCCGTCACCAACCCCCGCCCCCCCCCCCCCCGAAGAACCCCCCCCCCCCCGTCGTGCGCTGCTTGAATGGGTTTATTTGGAACCTGATGCTCGTTCTTTTTGTGCGGGGCAAGTCTTTTGAGGGGAGAGAAGAGGGAGGGGCAAGAACAAGTTAGGAAGAACATGAAAATTCCGGCCACTATTCTCGTTTTCTCGTTCTCTTCAGCAAGTAACAAACAAAACTGATATGTGCTTGAAAAAAACCGAAGGAACCCTTTTCTTCCACGGTCTATGCTTCTCTCTATGCCTCGCCCTGTCTCAGCAAATCTCTGTCTTTGTAGCTCACCCTCCTCTCGTCTTGCACCTCTACAAGACACACCGCCCATAAAAGAAAAGAAGAGAGAAAGAGAGCGAGAGAGCGAGAGAGAGAAAGAGAGAGAGAGAGAGAGAGAAAGAAAGAAAGAAAGAAAGAAAGAAAGAGAGAAGGAGAGAAGGAGAGAAAAGGAGAGAAAAGGAGAGAAGGGGAGAGAAGGGGAGAGAAGGGGAGAGAAGGGGAGAGAAGGGGAGAGAAGGGGAGAGAAGGGGAGAGAAGGGGAGAGAAGGGGAGAGAAGGGGAGAGAAGGGGAGAGAAGGGGAGAGGAGAGAAGGGGAGAGAAGGGGAGAGAAGGGGAGAGAAGGGGAGAGAAGGGGAGAGAAGGGGAGAGAAGGGGAGAGAAGGGGAGAGAAGGGGAGAGAAGGGGAGAGAAGGGGAGAGAAGGGGAGAGAAGGGGAGAGAAGGGGAGAGAAGGGGAGAGAAGGGGAGAGAAGGGGAGAGAAGGGGAGAGAAGGGGAGAGAAGGGGAGAGAAGGGGAGAGAGGGGAGAGAGGGGAGAGAGGAAGGAGAGAGAAGCGAGAGAGAAGGAGAGAGAAGGAGAGAGAAGGAGAGAGAAGGAGAGAGAAGGAGAGAGAAGGAGAGAGAAGGGGAGAGAAGGAGAGAGAAGGGGAGAGAAGGGGAGAGAAGAGGAGAGAAGGAGAGAGAAGGGGAGAGAAGAGGAGAGAAGGGGAGAGAAGGAGAGAGAAGGAGAGAGAAGAGGAGAGAAGGGGAGAGAAGGAGAGAGAAGGGGAGAGAAGGAGAGAGAAGGAGAGAGAAGGAGAGAGAAGGAGAGAGAAGGAGAGAGAAGGAGAGAGAAGGAGAGAGAAGGAGAGAGAAGGAGAGAGAAGGAGAGAGAAGGAGAGAGAAGGAGAGAGAAGGAGAGAGAAGGAGAGAGAAGGAGAGAGAAGGAGAGAGAAGGAGAGAGAAGGGGAGAGAAGGAGAGAGAAGGGGAGAGAAGGGGAGAGAAGAGGAGAGAAGGAGAGAGAAGGGGAGAGAAGAGGAGAGAAGGGGAGAGAAGGAGAGAGAAGGAGAGAGAAGAGGAGAGAAGGGGAGAGAAGGAGAGAGAAGGGGAGAGAAGGAGAGAGAAGGAGAGAGAAGGAGAGAGAAGGAGAGAGAAGGAGAGAGAAGGAGAGAGAAGGAGAGAGAAGGAGAGAGAAGGAGAGAGAAGGAGAGAGAAGGAGAGAGAAGGAGAGAGAAGGAGAGAAGGAGAGAAGGAGAGAAAGAGAGAGAGAGAGAGAGTGAGAGAGAGAAAGAGAGAGAGTGAGAGAGAGAGGCTCACGACACGTGCCCGCCCCACGTCGGCTTGCCCTGCCGGCGGCGGCCCCTGCACCCTGTGCCGACACGCTTGCGCCTCGCTATCCGAGGCGGTCTCGCGTTTGCGGTTAAATTATAATCTAAAGCAATACAGAATATTCACACAGGACAATGTCATATCACATAGGATACTTATCATCTTCGCGCAAGTTCACCGCTGCTTCCGGCCGCAAACCCCTTTCCCTTGCAGCGCAGGTTGGCCGTAAGTCTGGACTCCTCCAATGTGTCAAATCCCATCCACGGTCATGGCATGACCCTAGGGCATTCCGTCTGGGTGCAGCCATGGCAGTAGACGCCGAAAAACCTATGCCACACAACCCGGGCCAACCGCCCAACCCCAACATCTTCTTTCGCGCAGAGTAGAGACAAACTAGAATTCTCAATCATTCCTTCATAAGCCCTGAATGCCCAGAGGGTCCCACGCTCGGAAAATGCCAGAAGCGACCTCGACAACTACCGCTTCAGCGGTGCCGTTCGCCGTTCACTGGCCTGCCACATGGGGGTTGATTAAAATTATGGGCCCCTATACTATTTTAGTATATTCTATTCCTCAAAGTTCAGGGTACCATAAAGGCCCATAACCATACAAGGCCCATAATTTGATCAACCCCCATGGGATGGTCGACAAAACTCTCACTGGCCTTGCAGGTTCGCAATGGCCACAAGTCTTGGCCATGTTTGCATCCAAAACTTGATCACATCTGAACTCTTTTTCTTGGCGCAGCCATGGCTTGTCTTCACTCGCCTGCCGCTTGGATGGTCGACAAAAGCCTCGCTAGGCTCCGCATTGGCCACAAACTCCTGGCCCTTACAGTCCAGAACCTGATCAAATCTGAATTCCGTCTGGGCAAAGCCATGGCAGTGGACACTTATCTCACACGGGTTCTGCGCAAACCTTTTGCATGCAGGGCTCCATCTAAGCTCACCGCCTCGAGCTCAGACTTTGGACGGATCAAAAGAGTACCAATCCCTTTTCACCCACGTGCGGAAGCCCATAAACCTCAGTCTCTCTTTCCCATTCGCCATCAAACTCAGCCATGCTAGCCCGTCGGTCTAGGCCGCTCAGGGTTTAGGGTCCAGGGTTTAGGGTTTATATAGAGTTTCCAAGTTGCAGCTTCTTCTTCCTCCAACTCCAGACGGCGCTTCCTCCGGCTGTGCAGAAGCTTCTTCGGGGGGCTCCAGGCAGGGCAGCACCGAACACCCCAACAGACCTGTCCTGCGCGATGAATGATGCGGCCCCCCCAGCTGGCTGGATCACCGTTGGCGTAGTCCCATCTTCCCCCGCCATAAGCAGGCCCACCAGCACCAGCTTCAAGAAAGTCCCAACTGCCAGGCAAGCCCTGGAAGTCCCCTACACTGCCAGACCCAGGTTTCCTTGGAGCCATATAGTTCCAATCGCAGCACTATATAACTTCCGAAATGCACTGTGTCATCCTAGACGCCAGCGCCATATCCCGTTGCTCGAGCGCTCGTGTGTAAAGACCTTGGGCGCGCGACTGCATCCATCCACAAAGCTCTACAAATACCATAGGCCTCTTCGGATACCCTTGGCTGGGTTTAGGGTCGAGGGCTTAGGGTTGAGGGTCTGGCAGGCGTCCGAGACGCGAACAGCTCAGAACCTGTCCATGCAGCCTGCGGCGCACTCATTGCTGGGGGCCCGTTGCCAGCAGATATACTCTGGGTTGGACCCTGTTCCCACCGGGATGGTACGTCTTTGTAGGACCAAAAGTCGTTCAGATGGGCTCTGTCTGAAAGGCGTACGCCGCCAAAGACCTGCACGAACACGAAACAGAGGTCGCATGTCATGTCACGTGCTGTAGCGACCAGGGCGGACAACTCGATACATGCTTGGGTCATTGCACTTGCAACAGTATCTGGGCTCTCCGGCGAGAATTTGGTTCAGCTCTTTTGCCCAGACCATGGCATGGTCACGGCGGCTTGCAAAGGGCATGGTCCCCCGGCTTCTGAAGTTGGTTATGTATATCATCTCAAACCTGTACATCTTGTTGTCCGCCGACTCGCCGTTGTTAGGCTGGCCCCCGTACAGGAACAAGCAACGAGAGCACATGCTACCGTAAGGCGTGTACACAGCAGCAAAGCCCGTCCGCACTGGTATGGGAGAACCATTTCCTCCTGAGAAGCTAAACTGCTTGTACCACCAGTTCACCGAAGAGCCGCCGTCGTGGTCAAAACCCCAAATATTCATTCCGGTTCCTCACAGCACGAAGGCTCCAAATCCAGAAACACGAACAAAATCAAAGCCCCAATACTTGCGCAGCTACCCCGAGCCTGTCCTTGGTTATGCACGAGATACGGCGTAGAGCGATCCTCTGCGTCAACCAGGTAGGTAGAGTCCCAGGGCCGAACGCCTGGACATGGGGGTTCTGAGTCGAGGATGTTATTATTATTCTTCTTCTTCTTATTCTTATTATTACGATTTGTATTTTTTATGATGAAGATTATGATTGTGATCATGATTATGAATATGCTTATGCGTATGTATGGTTATGATTATGAACTATGAGTACGACTATGGTTATGAACTATGAATTACGATTACGATTATGATTCTGGTTCTGATTATGACTTTGGCTATTATCATTGTTATTTTAATTATCCTTATTATCAGTATCACGATTATCAGTATTATTAACCGCGCCAAGCCACGGGGCTTAAATGATGAGGTGACGGTCATCTTCCTTAGGGAAGGCAGCAAGAGCGTGCTTTCGTTGTTGTTTTCTTCCCTCAACCCTAAACCCTATGCGGAGCTGCTGTTTGTATTCCAGGAATTGGAATAAAAGTAGGTAAAAAGGGTCAATGCACCCGTCATGATCTGGCTCAAGGATGGTCAGCCCGTCCGCAGCAAAGAGTTCGTGTTTGGGAGTGAGGGTTGGGTTAGTGCCCCTTTACCTGGGTAAGGGTAACCCCTCCTCTTCCCTGGTTTCTTTTGGGTGGTCTGTGATTTCTTGCTGGTTGGTCTGGGGAATATATCTAGGCAGCTGTTTAGGGTTGACACTTCTCTTCGTCCCCTTTCGGTTGCCCCCGTAGGTTATGAGCCCAAAGGGTTCCCTGCGGTAAGTTGTTTTCGTTCAGGGCTTGGGTTCAAGAAGCAATGTCTTCCTCCAAGCAATGGCTCCAATCCTCCGCGAATGGTGGTGAAGATGGTGGAGCTGAAAATGGCGCAACTGGTTCCCTGGCTGGAGAGGTGGCGCTAGAAGCAGTGATGCCTGGTGCTGCAGAAGAACAACTGGGAAGAACAACGGTTGCAGAAATTCCCAATGAGGGTATGGTTCCCAATGTGGACATGACTGATGTTGCTGAAGGTGAAGGACGAGCTAGTACTACACCGCCAAGGGCTGGGGAAAAAAGGACCTGGGATGAGACTGGTGGTGTGGACGTAGAACTGGAAGCGACGGTGTTGCGTTTGATGCTGAAGCATGGTTTTCCTATGGCGTCGTCCTCGTCTTCGGGTCGCAGTCAGGAAATTCAGACTGAGCTGAGTGGAGAGGTGTCCTCCGTATCAAAAAGGTCTCAGAACAAGATGAAGGGGGTTTCCTCTGCGAGTTCCATTTGTGGTGAAGGCGGTGATGAAAAAGAAGGAAAGAGTGTGGATGATTTAAAAGCTGCACCTACCGCGATATACACAATGGATGAGGAGGAGATCCTGGAGTTGGATGCTGAGAGGATACGCCAGGTGTCTGAGGATGCTGAAAGGATGTGTCAAGTGTCTGAAGAGGATGGTTTTCAGAAAGACGAGCGTCTGATCAAAGTGTGTGATGGGACAACCTGGGAGTGGCACTTTCTCGAGGATGGAAGACAATACTACTACTGCCTTGATACGGGTGAAAGCAAGTGGACGCTGCCTGAAGCGGGTGACAAGATTGCGGACAACAAGGTAACTGGTGTTCCGTCTGGCAATGAACTCCGACCCCGACATCTGAGTCTGTAAGGGCTTTTCAAGGTAGTATAGATAGTTGTACAGAAATGGGCGTTTCCTCTGCCATTGGGGATAGCGGTCTAAGGGTTGGTGAAGCTAACCTGGCCTCGGGTTCTCCAAGGGAGGATGGAATTTCTGAATTGCAAGATGACATGGCCGGTGTGCACCTGGATCAGGGAAAGAATACAGCATTTTCTGAGGGTGACGCGGCGGTGAGACTTGCGGTTCTGGATGAAGTGGTTCCCAATGCGGAAGTGAGTGGTGTTTCGGCCGCAGAAGAGTTGGTGGTGGATGAAGCATCTGGCAGTCAGGAGGTTGTTCCTGGAAAAGATGAAGATGGGGGAAAAACGCTGGGTGTGTCAGCTGATGAGATTTTCCCACCCATTGCCAAGGTGTCCACCTTGCTAGAAAGGGATGATGCTTCTGTGTTAGCTGAAAACGCTGTTGATTTGCCTGACATGAGGGTCAAGGCAGAAGCCTGGAGCACCAATGAAGCGCGGGCTAGTGTGCCGGTGAAAACGGGTCGAGGCACATGGTGGTACAAGCTCCGCAACCGACTGCGACAATGGGGAGCAGGTCGTTGTAGCTGCTGATGATGGAGGTGCTACGGTGGACGCGCCAGTGCATTCTGAAGTCAGGAGCGAGGAGCTGGAGATTCCGAACTGCGCCGGAGCCAATGGAGCAGCCGTGGTTCATGGCGGTGGTGAAATTGTATCTTCTTTGGTAACCATGGAGCCAAAGGAGCCTGCAGCGGAAGAACGTGTGCCTGCTGTGGATGACAAATCAAAGGATCCAAGGAAATGGAGATCTCGCCGACTGGTGGTTTGCAGGAAGTCGACACCAAGCAGACTACAACAGGGGAGGCGACGCTTCCAACAGCGGAAGAAGGTAATTCTGTGTCTTGTGAGCGCAAGGTGGATGACGTTGCGGGACTTGTACAAGCACAGGAAAAGCAGCTTGGTCCAGATGTGGAAGCAGGGGATACGCAAGGAGCTGATGAAACTATGCCGGCTCCTGCAGAGCAAAAAGAAGAAGGGCCCAATGAGGCAGCCTCAGCTTCACCTGGAGAGCATTTTTATCAAGCGGGTGATTCACTGATCGGAACGGTCGACTGTATCAACATTGATGGAGTGTGGTTGGCTTATGGGAAATTACAGGTGTTGATCCCTGAAACGGAAAATAGCCGCTATTTTCAGATTGGAGATACCGTTCAAGCGGCGGTGAATCATGTCGAAAGTGACGGTACCCTGATTATGGATTTAGACATGCGGCTGGAGGACGATGGTGATGGAGCATCTTCTTCAGGACCACGCAGATGGAAGTGTGGATGGTCAAGTCAGTGGTGGGGTAATTCGTGGTATGGAGGTCAATGGGACCAAGATTCCTCTTCGTATGATTGGAACTGGAAAGAGGAAGATAGATGGCAATGTTATGGGTGGTCTGCCGAACAGTGGATCCCTCCTGACAAATGGGAGGAAGGGGTACTGAAGCAATTCTACGGTGAGAGACTCTATCGAATGCTGGATTTTCTCGAGGTATACAAGGGATATATTGGCAAGATCACTGGCGTGTTGCTGGAACGCAGTGTGGACGCTGTAAAAGAGCTGGCGATGGATTTCGGCTTGCTGAAAAGTGAAGCGCGTGAAGCTTACAAGGTGTTGGATAAATGGAAGTGTGGTTGCAAGCTGGCCACGAGGAAAGTACTCCCGAGAGCAGTACCACGATGCGTTGTACGATATTGCCCGCCAAGAGCGGAAGTATAGTGAAGCGGCTACGGGCGAAGCGGTTATGAAGGTGTTGGACCAAGGTCAAGAAGATGCTTGGCACGCATGGTGGGTGGACGCAAGGCAGTTTTTGTGTGAGATTGATGCTGCAATTGAAGTTATGCGATTATATGAACAAAAGCCAATGGAAGCGTATCTGGATCCTGAAAAGATCAAAAAGGTTCATATGACACCGAAGCCCCTCTCGAAAGGCTACACTAAGCTGTGCAAGTTTTACAAACAGGGAAGATGTCGCAATGGAGGCGAATGTACTTTCGAGCATCGGTTTCCTGGTGAAGGGTGGCCAGAGAATGGTCCCACTGAGTCAGTTGGGAGCAACGCCGACGATAACGGTGAGGATATTGGCAAACCTCCAACTGAGGAATAGGAAGTGGATGCTACGCAGGAAGAACGAGAGTACCGGGACTTTCAGCGGTACAACTATGGTAAGGGTGCTTCAAAAGGTGAACCAACGACGCAGGAGCCGAAGCGACAGTTGTGTCTGTACTATGGGACGCAAAATGGTGGCTGCAAGTATGGTGCTACCTGCAAGTTCATTCATGATGACAATGCTGTTTTGGAAGGAACTCGTGAGATTGGCAAAATGTGGGACAATGCTTCCCGACGAGCCATCAGAGATGCAGGTTTCCACAAGGTCTGGTATGACCACTATCTGAAAGGCAGATGCAGAGTGGGATTTGGCTGCAGATTCACTCACGAGGAGCTCTCTCCAGAGCGATTGGCCGTGCTACGTCATTTGGTGCATAGAGCAAATTACATCAGTGATATTCAGGACAAGGGAGGTGAGCTTCCAAGCCACGATAGCTTTAAGTTCCAGAACTTCATCATCTTCGGCGCCGCAAGCGTTGCAAATCACCAAGGTGTCAAATGAAAAAAATCAGACTGGTGCTACGCTGGATGGTGCGGATGAGCAGGAGGGTGATGAGCAAAAGGATTTTGCTGCAGAGTCCTCCACTACACCGATTCTGAACCCAGAGGAGCCGATTGAAAACTGGATGGCCCGAAACAAAGGGCTGTGGGTCTACACTCCTCATGTAAGTGAGGTGATGCTCAAGCTTGGTGTGACCATAGTAAGGGAGCTACAGGAGTATATCTTTGTGGAAGATCTGATGGAGAAGGGAGTCAAGAAGGTGGATGCTTGCAAGCTTCTAAATTTGGTGGGTGGTGTCCGATATCGGCCAAGGTCGCCGGATATGGCTGTTTCCGCCAATGCGTCTGTACGCACACAGCAATCTTCTGGAAGCAATGAAGCTGGAAGTGGGGCAGCGAGAACCTTGTCACAGGTACGAGAAGCTGAAGGTCACGGTGAAAACACTATGCCGCGAGGGTCATATTTGGAAATCCTGAATCGTGGCAGATACCGTGAAGCTTGGACGCAGGAACAAAGGTCTCCGTTGTGCGTGCAAAGGTTGCGATTGGTGGGAGTTGGCGTGCCGCCGGTGAATCCTCCAAGTAAGCAAAGCGAGGAAGACAACTCTTGAATCGAAAACAGGTGCAACAGGTGCCACGGTCCCGATTCGGGGGAGGTTGTCGTTTCGCTTCAGCCGAGTGTGGGCGGATTTGGAGGATGATGACCAAGATGTGGTTTTTGTGTCCTACGCTGAGTCCTCTCATGATTCTAGTGCTGAGGAAGCCGACAATGCGCGGCAGTTACGGGAGGCCTTTTTGCAAGAAAGGGACTCAAAGAGAACTGGGACACGTGGCAATGTACCACCTGTGGGTTCTCGAAGCTCCAATGGAGGGCAGAAAAAAATCAAGTGTTCTTGGCGTAGAGCGCGACAAAGCGTCGCGGGGGGAGACCCGCCAAGAGTTTTCGGTGTCAGAATCTTCAAACCAAATCGTTGCAATCTCAAATGGGACCGAAGATGGTGCTGTTATTGGTGGTTCGCTGGCAGATGGCTCTACGAGTGAAGTTCTACCTGGGCAAGATGATGCTGGACAGGGGACTATCTTGGAAAGCACGGAGCAGATTTCTGGCGAAGAGACTGGGCAACAGGTTGGTGAAGAGAGGAGCAATGTTCTCCAATCTGACAGTTCGGAAAAGTGTACTTGAGAGCCACGGGCTGGGACGAAAGCTCTAGTAGGTCCAGGACTGGGGACACGGAGCTTGCCAGTGATTCAAGTAGCTCTCTCTCTTGTCGCACATGACACGCAACGGCCAGCATCAGCAGCATCAGGCACCACACCCACTAATCTAGCCCAAAACAGGCCCCCTTGGCACCACACCCGGGCCAGCATCAGCAGCATCAGGGGGGCCCCGCTTCTCCTTAGAACGTCTCAGGAAAACACCTACCAAAGAACCCCAAATCTAGCTCAAAACAGGCCCCCTTGGCAACGATGGTTTTCCCGGCACCAGACCGGGGATAGCCGAAAAAACCCACCGAAATTGGTCCACCCCCCCCCGCCCCCCCCGCACCCCCCCCCGATAACCCCAGGCTCACTTCGTGAGGTATTGAACAAAGCTCCCACAGGGGGGAGCTTTCGTGATTAGTGATGAAGCGCCTCAGTGTTCACAACTGTTGGTGACAAGAGGTATCCTCAAGAGGATCTATTCGAAGGTTTCTGAAGGGTGGATACCAATTCAAAAGAAAGATTTTCCAAAAGGACTGAACAAGATGGACCGAAATCTGGTCGTCAGTGCTTCTTCGGATGGTTCGGGCGAGGGGGAGTTGAGCCTCTCGGTGGTTGAAAACTCAAGTCTTTCGGTGGTAGAAGACCCTCCGGTGCAGCCGAATCCTTATGATCCTCAGGTACTTATTCAGTCAGTAACAACTGATTGGGTTATGCGCTGTGGCGCGGCGGATCGTATACGTTGGCGTCTTTGGCGCGACAAATTTGCGCTGCTATGGTGGAGGTGGATGAGCTGAATGGTAGGCTCAATACTGGGAGACTGCTCTATGAAAGAAGGGATTGGGGTCAGTATGGTGACCTACATCATCCTTTCCACGACAACCCACCCGCTCTCTGTAATGGGAGTGTTGCTGTCGCCAGGTCTACAACATGAATTCCGATCTACCAGTACGTTTGGAGCTGCAATGGAAGCAATAGCCTTCGATTGGAATCGGGATCCAGAGATGAGAATTCACGTGGAGTTGATGGTCTGGGTAGCAAAACTGGTTTATCCGTTTCTCAATATCGGTGGTCAAGGAACCGTGGTGAATTCGGAGTTCCTTTGGCAGGCTGGAAGGGAAAGGTTGATGGAATTTCTCCAAGCAACAACGTGCGCAGATGAACTGGAGGATCTGTGGTTGCGAATGGATCCAGATGAAGAGGTTGATCCTTCTGGGTTCGTGCTGGAAGTTTCTGGACAGCTTGAACCGGTTTTTGCTCAAGGGAGTGGTGAGGCTCCTACCTTGGAAGATGGTGCCGAGGACGTGACGATGGACTCTGAGCGGGCTATGGGCAAAGCGTCGGAAATATCTCCTGAAGAGGAAACAGCTGCGAGTTCATCAAGACTGTCGAGCGCCAGAATGCTTCTGTGGAGTGTGTATGAAGGGTTGCCAATTGGGAGCCCTCGTTGCAAAACCGACAGACTGGGAAAATCTTCGACAGCACAAAAGGTTATCCTGGAGAGGGACCGACAAATGTTGGTAAGGATCTTCCTGAGAGGGAAATGCCCTGGATTTCTGAGGATCATCTCGATGAGGTGGTTGCAAAAAAGTTGGAAACGTCCTCAGAGCTGGGTGAAGTAGGTTGGCTTGGTTTGGAGAGTGAAAGTCAGTCTGAAAAGGTTGAGGTAGAAGATAATACTTCCTCTCAGGTCCTTAGAGCTCTATGGTGGAAAGGGTTTAGGGCTGGACAACGGAGGTTGTGTCGTGTCAGCGGAGTTGGAAACAAGGTTGGAGCGCCAAACCTTCCAGTTAATCGGGTGTGGAAGTCTGGAGTTAAGAAGGCCTTTTTGAAGAAGCCAAGCAGTCGTGGATTGGCTCCGTGTGGCTCAGGAATTGAGGGAAGACCAATCACGAAGGTTTTGGGACAACGTCAAGGTTTTCCAGAGGTTCCTGAACTAGCACCCTGGGTGCAATGCCCATGTAGAGCGAGATCGTCCCATGGACCGTTACGAGGCAGAGCGCCTGGCAAAAAGGAGCAGAGGCATCTGCTCTTGGTTTAACAGGGGGAACGATCGCTGCAAATTCGGTGAGAACTGTAAGTTCATCCATTCAAAGGATGATGTGGTGCTGCCGTCTTTTTGGTGCAAGTACTATGTGGCTGGAAGGGATTGCTTCGCTGGAGAGGATTGCAAATATTCGCACGATGCAACTGGTGTTCGGTGTATCCAGTGTTTTCGGTCTGGAATGTGCCGTCATGGTGACAAGTGCGTTTTCGAGCACAATGAGGTTATGGGCTCTGAAAGGCCTCCGTCTCCGGTTACACCGCCAAGGGATCGTCCGAAGAAGGGCGATGGTGGAAGAAGCGTTTCTCCTGAAAAGTTGGCCGAGGAGGAGGAGGTAGATTTTATGGTCTACGATGATGACACTCGGGCGGTGGAGTTGTTGTCGGAAGCTGTATCGTATATGTCCGACGGGAAAAACGATGTTGATCGCTGGGAAGGTGAGGCGATTTTCAAGCTTTTACGGTTCACAGGTGATGAGGAGCACAAGAATGCCGAATGGAATTCTTGGGCGAGCCATATGTTGTCCCCGCTGGAGCTACATGAGATAGTGAAAGCGCAAGATATTCCGCTGAAGGATATTGAGGAATGGACAGATGAGCTGAGAATATGGTATCGCAAAAAATCTCTGGAAGGGGACTCCAAAGATGGTAAAAAACCACCGTCACAAAAGGAGTCAGGGGATGTTTCTCCGGCGGCGGAGGTGGTGCCAGAAGTCTCTGAGGTGGTCGTCAACGTCGATGAGGAGTTGAGGAAGGCCAAAAACAAGAGGAAGGCTGCCGCAACTGAGGATCCTTACACTCTGCTGGTTCCAAAGCCCAAGCAAAGGCCGGCGAATATGGATCGTTCTGAGAAAGGTGGATCGTCAACAAAGGTGGTAGCTTCCAATGAGGAGAAGGTCCTTTCTCGCACTCGGGCAAAAACTGGTATTTCGGCGAGCAAACATCTGGAGAAGGAAAAGGTTCAGAGTCCGAAGAAAAAGGAGGTCGCGCGAGAAAAGGATTCTGAAAAGAAGGGCAAGCCCTCTGATGTAGAAGCTCAAGTTTTGGGCGCGGTTGATCCGCAAGTGGCACAGTCGCGTAAAGCGATTGATGATGCAAGGAGAGAGGGGGGGCTATCTCCTCGATTCAGAGGTGTTTGGTGGATCCTTCGGTAACAATACAGGATCTTGAAGATATTTTGTTGCGACTTCATCAGCTTTGCGAAGCTGGTCGAAAGAACAAGATGTGACGACTGGTTTGGTATTGTTGGACTCTGGTAAAACTTCCTTATTCTGAGATGGATGGTTTGGTGTCTGCTGTTAAGGGTTAGGAAATCCCTCATGGTAGAGTGTGTGAACCCAATGCGGTTTATGAAAAGATTTAATTCATTCGTCCTGGAAGACGTTAAACCATTATGTGCTATTTCAAGCAGCTGACTGCTGTCAATAACGACAGTTTTTGGTCAAATATCTGCACCTCGAGGATGTGTCCTAGGTCCTAGGTATCCTAGGACAGGGGGAGTGCGGAGCTGCTGTTTGTATTCCAGGAATTGGAATAAGAGTAGGTAAAAAGGGTCAATGCACCCGGCCAGCCCGTCCGCAGCAAAAAGTTCGTGTTTGGGAGTGAGGGTTGGGTTAGTGCCCCTTTACCTGGGTAGGGGTAACCCCTCCTCTTCCCTGGTTTCTTTTGGGTGGTTCTGTGATTTCTTGCTGGTTGGTCTGGGGAATATATCTAGGCAGCTTAGGGTTGACACTTCTCTTCGTCCCCTTTCGGTTGCCCCCGTACCCTAAACCCTGTCACCTCCACTTGTCACCCGTGGCATCAGGGTCGTAGATCCAGAGGTCGGCACCATACGAGGCACCACCTGGAACAGGCAAGGCACGGAAAGCCGGTTTAGGGTTTGGACGGTAGGGTTACTATTCAGCCCTGGCCTGTCCCGCCGCCGAATAGCCAAACGTAACCGTTCGCATCTCCCCTGCAACTCGCCATCCGGGGCCGTTCCCGCCCAGAGTGCTCGTGCAGAGCCTCCGCGTGGCCAAGTTCGACCCAAGCCTGCAGCGGCTTCTTGGTTTAGGGTTTCGGGTTTGGACCCTAAACCCTAAACCCTGAACTTTGAACCAAGCTATGCACTGCTCGACTCCCTAAGGCGGGAAGTCGCCATAACCGTAGGCATCCTGCAGGAATACTCAAGCAGCGTCCTTCAAAGGACCGCCGGGCCTTGTTGTCAGTGGAGACCCAAAGCTCGACCTGGGCTTTAAGGCTTTAGGATTCCAAACCCTAAACCCTTGAAAACCCTAAATCTCACCCTACACACCGAGGTCCGGGCGGCTGGGACATTTTTGCCCGGGAATGGGGAAGGGAGGATCGGCTGGTAATTGGTGCCGCTCCACACGACACACCTTGGGTTCTTCACTGCTTCGGGATCAATGTGGTTTAGGATTTAGGGTTTCTGGTTTAGGGTGAAGTGGAAAACAACTGGGCGTAACTCTGCCAGGTGCACACTTCCTCATCCAAGGGGTTAGCTTCGGATCCAGCGGCAGCCACAATGTCACACGTTGTCAGGAAGGAAAATCCATCCCGGCCACCCGGCGACAGCATCAGCCCGGACGGCTTCCACCAATACGTCGTACTTTGGTGCCTGTAGTTGACGGCTTCCTGGAAGTCCAATGCACGAGTCCCGTTTATGACTTTCAGATTATGTTCCGAGAGGTCTCTACCCAAACCCTGAACCCCAAGCCAGTCGGCCCTTTGTAGGCTCCGCTTGGGTCCATGCTTGGATCCTCCCCTCCCTCCACCCTAAACCCTTTTTTGCATCTGGCCTGCTGTGACTCTGCCAAGCCTCAACACCTTTACATCCAGGCCTCTGAAGTCTGCCGGGTAAGTATGCTGACACACAGGCGCGAAGCACAAACCCAGCACTCGTGGCAAGCCTCAACACCTAAACCCCTAAACCCTAAACCCCAAACCCCTAAACCCTGAACCCCTAACCCCTAAACCCCTAAACCCTCTCCGAGGCACCCAACCGGTAACGCCCCGCGATGTCACAGGGTTCGAGGATTGAACCCAAATGTTCTCTCCCCAATCTTTCCAGACCATCCTTTGCTCTCGATTTTTTTAGGGCTAGGGTTTAGGGTTGAAGTTGAAAGAAAAAATTGGACCAGCAAACGCCATCACCCCCACATCCCCTTACCAAAGCCCACTCTTCCCGAGCTGCATAAAGAGGTACCGGCCGTTGCTTTTCAAGGACTCAAGATTGTCCAAATCGGCGAAGTTCGCTGCGGCGGGATTGTCTGCGTTCCTGATCGGACAGGAAAAAGGAGCCAGCCCCGCGCAGGTCGCCTCTGCCCCCCCCCCCCCCAGAGTCTAGGGTTTAGGCTTTAGGGTCATCCCTGACAAACCTGGCCCGCTCGTTCGCTTCAGTTTTGGCTCTTGCATCCACACTGACAGAACAAACCTCAGCGACAATCAGGCCCCAGTGTCCCGCCAAACAGAAGTGCGAAAACAAAAAGTTTGATTCGGATGTGTTCCCTTCAAGCCTTGCTTTAACCCTATCGACATGGCAACACAGGGGAATGCAGTGGCACATCCCAACGCCCAAAATGTAGAAAGGAGTGTACTAAAATAGGAGATAAAAGGGGCCCATAACTTTGCTCAACCCCTCATCCCAACATCCCAACATGTAGTGCCAAGGGGCAGAGTTCTTTGGCCTTTGGCAAACTTGTATCCACGAGATTGCCGATACACGAGCCTCCATTCCTGCCGTTGGAAGCTTGCACTTGGGCCCGCCTTGATGCTGCTGCTAATGTTGACCCTTCTTTAATATCAATATTGTGAAGATTACGACTATTATTCTTACTATCGATTTTTTATTCGCAATATTACAAAGCCGCTCTAAGGCAACTCGGAAAGACACACACACACACACACACACACAGATACACCAATAGAAGAAGGTTCCACCCTTCCAAACACCAAAAAAAATGGGCTGTTCGGGCAGACGAGTCCGTTTCCTAACAGCTAGAACCAAAAGGCGACAACACGCAAGAACCAATAGGCAAGAAAAACACACACTAAGCCCAGATGCAGCAATAAGCAAAACAACTACACATTAAGCCAAGCTGCACCAAGAAGCAAAACAACTACACATTAAATCAAGGCGCACCAAGCAGCAAAGAAACCCGCATATTAAGCCAGGACACACCAATAAGCAAAACTACAAAGTGTTACGCCGGAACGCACGAATAAGCAAAACAACCGCATATTAAGCCGAGAACTTTAAATTTTCGTTGTTGACGCTGAGGACATACCCGTGTTTACAAAAAATCGTAACCTTTCGTTTTTTTAAGCTGCACACACACACACTGTCGGGTCTACAAACAGAACTTCCCCTTTTGACGTTGCAGGCGCAACATGGTTCACAAAACATTTCGCTTTTGATGTTGAGAACACAGTAGGGTTTACAAAAAGCCTTTCGTTTCGATGTTGATAACACAGTAAGGGCACACCAAAGTTTACAACAAAACATTTCGTTTTATAAGTTGCGCACACAGTATACAGTTTACAAAAAAGTTTTCGGTTTTGACGTTGCAGGCGCACCATGGTTTACGTAAAACTTTTGCTTTTCATGTTGAGAACACAGTAGGGCTTACAAAAAACCTTTCATTTCGATGTTGATAACATAGTAAGGTTTGCCAGAAGACACCGTTGCTTTATTTTCTGATGGGCCGACAACAAAGAATCAGGCCACACAAAAGCAAGATATTAAAACAAGTTTCAACCCATTCGGTGTTGGCATTATTGCCGCTCACCCAATGCAAGCATCAGTCTAAAAAAAGTCATGATGACTTGGACAACGCATACAAAAAACAGCCGGCTAGACAAAAGTAACGCATTAAAACAACTTCCAACATATATAGTGTGGGGATGACTTTCTCGCTGATAGCCCCAGTGAACCTGGCGGATGCTATTATATATAATAGCCCTCGCGTGTATTCAAGCAGATTTATACATTTGTTTAAATTGCTTTGTAAACACTAAGCCAAAAGGACCCTAAAGGTCCCAGGCTCATACATATATATATATATATGCATGCATGTGTCTACACAAATATATATGTATATATATATACACACACACGCCTTCCTCTGGTGATTAGGAGCCGCCCCCGTACATGCCCAAGGACCTCGCCAAACTTCTCCATGATCCCGCCGGCCTCAGGACACAGGGCAGAGGAAATTTGCAAACCGGCCGGAAAAGGGTCCATGACACATAATTGTATAATATAATACAAAAAATAAAATTTTATTATATATTTATGACACACATCCAACAACACCCAACGCAGCGCACAAGCTCCAGGAACATCCTACAGCACAAATGCAAGTGGCAGCTGTGTTTTTTGAGGAGTGCGTATTTGGGACGAGTCAGATTGTTCCCATCTGCAGGCAAGTGGTTTAGGGTTTAGGGTTTTTGGGTTTAAGGGTTTAGGGTCGCCTCCACAAAGATCAACTTGATGTTCGCATCTTGGACTTGATCGCCAACATCTTAGCGTGGCTTGAAGCGCAACGGGGGCGTTTCAGCATGGCAGACGGCACTCACGTGACAGCAGGCCTGGGAAATAGTCGTCCAATATGTCAATCAAATAGTTAATGGTGTTCCCAGTGGCATCGACACCTTAATGATTGAACATCGTTGAAGCTCCATGTCTGTTGAAGACACTCAGCCAAGATTCTCCAAGGACGAGGTTTTTGTAGAGAGCCTACTGCACTTGCCCCGAAACAAAAAAATCATGCGCCTCAGTGCAAAATTGCAACCGGGCCAGGGACCAAGGGGCATTAATCGGCGGAAACTACTAATAATAAACATTATTATTATGATTATTTACATTTTACTTTTGTTACTATTATTAGAATTATTATCATGATTCATGATTCTTTTCATGATTAAAATTCTAACGCTCTGCATAATGATAATAACAACAACAATGAGGGTTAATGAGGATAATGAGGATTGGCCCCTGAATCTCCTTTCCTGCTCCGCATGGAGAGGGGATCGAACTGCCTTTGTCGTGCGCATTGAGATTGTGCCATGCGTGTCCTGTCCGCGCGGGCTTCACGACTAGCAACCCAAACACTGAAAGGAAGCAGGGAACGTGCCCAAGACACGGCATCAAAAATCATTGCCAATTCGACTAATCCCAGGGGCCGCGCCAGTGTGCTGCGAACTCCTCCACGCCCCGTGCGTCGACATCGGCCTTGATGTTGATGGGTTCTAAACCCTAAACCCTAAACCCTAAACCCCTAAACCCCTAAACCCTAAACAGCAGGCCTTGATGTTGATGGCGAGCAGCTCAACGTTGAGGAACTCAGGTGAGTCGATGCACGGGGAGCACTTTGGGCTCAAGGCTCCCAAAGACTCGTATGAACATTTCATTCTGATTCTGATTATGATTATTGTTATGAATATGACTATGATGAAGATGATGAGTATTAGTTATTGTTCTTATTGTTATCTTATGATTATTATTCTTCTAATTCTTGTTCTTATTACTACTATCGTGCCTTTTGTCTGCTACTATTACTTGTCGTACCATTATTTCTACTACGATTATTATTATGACTGTTCCTGTTATCTTTATTGTTGCTACTTTTGAAGTACTAGTACTATTGCTGCTACGATTACGATTACTAATACTAATACTATTGCTATTGCTATTGCTATTACTATGACTATTTCTATTGCTATTGCTATTGCTATCATTATTACTATTACGATGAATGTGATCATTATTCTTATTATTGTCAACAGTAATACTACTGATATTACAACTACTTTTTTCATTACTATTTTCGATTTTCTGGTTACTTTCTGATCATTCTCTGCGATCGTTTGTGTTTTCGGCTACCTGCGATTCTTGGGTTTAAGCAGTTGGGGGCCGAAGTTGCATCCCCGTAATCCCAAACCCTGAGCCCTAAACCCTAAATGCAGACAAAGGCTCTTGATTGCGTTGAGCCAGGCTGACCGATGTGGTATTTGATATATTGGTTGGAAAGGATATATCCAAGCTTTCCACCTTGCAATCTGTTTCACTGCTTCTGCAGAGGTCACTACTGCAGACAACATGACGCATCTGAGTAGGAATAGCTGAAGCCCGGGCAAATTCCGAGCCAAAAATGGCGAGGAACTGCTGTTTAAAGCCTTCCTGCGCCGTCTGGTTCTGGAAGGCAGCGAGCACCTCCGGACAGAGTCCAATCACATCCCTTTTTCCAATTTTTTTCCACGTGGCACCCCCCTGAGGGGTCAACCTCCTCCAAACTGCTGGCGTTGATCTGCAAGACGAAGCTGAACTCAACCCCCTGCAGCAAACAAAAGGATCTGCGCCCTCTCACCTTGCTTTGCGTGAGCGCACGCGGGCCTGCGCTGCGGTCTCAACCGTTGTTGTCGTGGAAGTGGTGCTTTCGGGCTTGTTGTAGTCGTAGCCGTAGGAGCCGTACGGCTGCGAGTGCGAGCGCCGGCCCCTGCGGCCCTTGGGCCAGCCTTTCAGGATCTCAAGGTTTCAGGCGTGGGGTTTATTTTAGGGTTTAGGGTCAAGGGCACGGGAACTGACAGGGGGGTCTATTTCAGGGATAAACCCAGGGACGAAACCCCTGTCACCCCTTAAGGGAACACAACTCGGATTAGGGGGGGTCCAGTGTGGGATCTAAGCCACCAACCCAACCAAGGGTCTTACTTCCAACATCCGCGACTCCTTTACCCTTGTTGCGGATGGGTGTCCCGCCCATCCTTGAGCCACATGTACAGTATCGAGGATGTTGTGTCAACACCCTCCTGAAAGTCCTCCTAACATCTACACACTCCCCCTGTCCTAGAGTACCCGAGGACACAAAGGGAGATGTTTCGGTCAAAAATTGCATTCGCCCCTTTGGCGAGCCGTAGCCATATAACCCCTTTCTCGCCGTGTTGGCGATCCGTCGCCATACCCTACACATTGAGCTACTCCCTGCCATTTATAGGAACCTGCCATTTGGGAAGGTCCACCATTAACCACTATGGAGGTCGTATGAGCGTGTCCTCCACGGGATTGACACTGCTCACTGAGGGGTCGGGTCCCTTAAACCTATTCCCAAAAGACACTCCCAGAGAAAATAATAACCAAAACGCTGACGCAACTGTTTCTTGTTCCAGCCAAACATTCCACCAGCACACTTCTTGCGTTCGGCTTCTATACGTCGCGTCTCCAGAGTTTTGCGCACGTGTGAAAAATAGGCGCCTATTGCACATGGCCTCCTGTATTCCAGCAGTGCCACCTGTGCCAGGATCGGCGCGGCGGAATCTCCACCATCTCCAGTTCCAACAGTGCTCGCCAGCGCCATCGGCGTTTGCACGCTTCTTGTCACGCGTATCCTTTATCCATATGTCTGGCAGGAGAAACTCAGCCTCTCCAGATCTTCCTTGACTCCCACATTTGCCGGCTTTGCCTTTGCCATGATCTTCGGCATCTTCTTTTCTGTTGGCGAAACAAGGGAAGAGGTAGAAGCCATCGACTTCCTCTTCTTCTCAGCTTTCGTCTTCGCCTCCTCACCACTTTCTCTGCTTCCTCCAGAGGAACCACACCCACATCAGCTTCTAGAGGAACCTCTGCAGCTTCCGTGACCCGATCCATCTGCCCCTCGGCTTTTTCTGACCAACGTCGAAGGGAATCCACCCATTCCTCAACCTCCAAAGCCAGACCACGCTGGGCAATCAAATCTGCCAGCTGCGACACAGACGGCAACTCACCGTCTGTCTGATCACCTGTCCATTCTTTCCAGTGTCCATCTCATTGGGCCATTGGGGTCACCACTGGCATTGAAAAGAAATTGACTCTCCTTCTTATCGGCCAATATTCCACAAGACATACTATCCACAGACTCTTCCACCAAAAATCATAAATCCTTTGCGCTTTCTCATCACACAGCATCCCATCTTTTTCACAAGTTTTCCGATCCTCTACCTGCCGACGCGACGCACGCCTCGGCAAAGGCCTCCTCGGCCTCGGACTCGGTGTCCTCGGCCATGTCGGCCGATCCAGTCCCGGACGCAAGAAAGCGCACTCCCGTCCATATACTTGCAGGTCCTATATACTTCATCCACACGTGGCACGGCGCATTCTCCGTATCGCGGGAATACTTGCAGTTCTCTCCCCTCAAACACGGGCCTTCCAGTTATCAGAACCTGCACCAGTTCCGAACTGAATCGGCTCCTTTGACACCAGAAACAGATTCCACAGCTCCATATCCCCTCCGTCTCCAGAATCCATTGCGCTACAAAGATGTCTCCCAGACGAGGCTCCAGCAAAATTCCACAATTGGCAGGGCGTAATTTCCTACCGGCCCAAAACACGGATCGTTATGGAAATCATCGTGAAAAGTTACATCATTTCCATGTCCTTGTCTTTCCCACAGTAGACTGCCCGTGGTAAGGCGCTGATTCGCCTCGTCGAAAAGCCCCATCATTTTCCAGCAATACACCAGCGCAGTCAGAGATGTATTTCCACATAGTTCTCTCTGCTTTCCTGCGCTCAGCGCCGGCTGCTTCCAGGTCTTCGGAGTCCTGGTCCTCTCGAGCCACCTGCGGAAGATCCAACTCCCCGACTCCTGCCGCACTCGCAGAAGAAGCACTGATAATAAGGCTCCTATTCGTTTTGTTCAACTCTTTCTTCTGCGCTGCCAGGCAATTGTCCAACATATTCTTTTGCGCCTCGCTTCATCAGACTAGTGTCTATGCCATGCTGCAGGTTCACCTCGCCACCAAGAGCTTCATCTTGCATCTCCGACTCTCCATCCGAGTCATCAAAAAAGGTCGTTCTCCTAACCAGAGACGCCGGAAATGCGGCGTCTCCCCGCGAAGCTTTGTCGCGTTCATCACCACTATGTTCTGACGCGTGGTCCTCCTTTTCCCCGGTCCATGATAGAAAAGCAAGAGGCTGATCATCATCCATCTGATCTGCCCAACGTGCGCCATCTTGCTGAAACGAAACGCCCGTCGAGCACCATAACTGGCCAGCGGCTTCGCTTTTTTCAACTTCTCCAGGTCGAGGCCTCCACGACCGTCTCCGCCGTATCGTCCCGGCGACACTTGCCACCGACCGCAGATTCGCTCCAGGACCCACCAGCAATAACTGTTCCATTCAAAGGAGCTTGTTGTTACGGAGTCAGTCTTTGACGCCCCCGTTGTTGCAAAACCTCCTGACATGTCCCTCGCGGCATAATCGCCTCATTCTGTGGCTCTGCCGACGAACCTGTGGAGTGAAAGGTTGCGCCGACTGTGGATTGCGGGGCCTAGAACGGATAGGACCAAGCCTCTGTGTAAACTTTTGCGCCTCCTCATCCGAAAGACCCTGCTCTGTCAAATCTTCCACGCGCATGAATCGTTCCAGATCTCGAATGCTGGCTTGCTCTGTGGCGTGAATTTCCCCCGTCTGCAGTTGCAGTAGTCAACACAACCAGAATGCCCGCTCGCCCCATGGCTGGCTGAGGTTGTTGGCACTGCACAAAGCTCCGTCTCCTTCGTGACAGATGAAGCACGCGCCGAATTTTTGTAATATCCCTCATCAGCTTTTTCTGCTCTCCGCTAATCAATCGAAGAGCGATCAAACTTGCAGTTGTTGTTTCCTCAAGTACAGTTGTCAAACAGATGATAGTTGTAGCATTTCTGTTCAGACCAAACTGTCTCAACCGTTGTCGTGCTCCATCGTCCAAAACTCTTCCAGCTTCTCGACGTTCCTCAGGAGCGGCCACATTCTCTGTACACGTGATCGGAACGACAACTGTCGCCATATGGACAGTAGCCATTTTGTAAGCCTCCAGCAAACTCGCGCTCCTTTTGAGGTCCCCTTTGAACCTCCCTTTCCATAGTCACATTTGTTCGGAACCCTCTCGCGCGGCCTTCTCCCGGATCCTCCTCCTCCTCCTCCACCAGAAGCGGAACATCATCCTCATCCTCACTTTCAGACGAAGAAGGGACATGTGGAGGTGGGGGAAAAATAGTCTTTCCAGCGCTTGCACCATGTCCTGGATCATCCTCCCACAAACTCTGGTGAGAGAACTTGCATCTTCCTTCATAAGAGCAATATCTGCTCCGACACTTACTTAGAAGACAACTTTGAAGTAGCGTGATTCTCCGGAGGTGCAGGACCTTGACGGGCTCTATTTAAATCCGTTAAAAAGTCCAGGCTCGGCTGAGCCCGATCGCCCGATCGCCTCCACTGCAGCACGCACTTCCTTAAGCAATTCTTTGTGCTGGTACCACAAACACTCCCACGTTTTCGAGTCTCCAGAGTCCATCATCATCTTCGCCACTCTGGAAATAATTGGGCGTGAGAACTCGGTGTTCTCAACCAACCAATCGTAGAAGTCCTTCGCACACTGCTGCTCGCTCCAATCATCTGGCTCCCAAGCATTTTGTGCCTTTGTTAGTGGTTGCCAGGCATCCTGGACCAGAACTGAACAAGCTTCTTTGGAAAGCTGTTGCACCTTTTCTTCATCTTTCACCACGTTCTCCAAATCTTCCAGACTCACTGTGTCCAAGAAGCATTCTTGTAATTTTCCTGCCCAATTCTCAGGATTCCAAAAATCATTTCCCCGTATTTTTGTTTGCCTTTGTCCATTCCTGACTTCCGACACAGCCATCTACCATACACCTTCCAGTTGTTGCGCTCCCACTCGTGCCTTTCATCACTCTTCCTGATCGACCTCCAACACCGCGGCGTAAATGGACAGCGCGAGGGTTCCGACCGCATTGACTTCCTCAACGCGCATGCCCTGCGCGTCATCAGTGGATTCATCCTTGAGGTCATCCTCTACTTGCAAGAGGGCCTCTTTTCATCATAAATGTTCACCCAGACACCCTTATAAGTCGACCGACGTCACCGCGTCGTCTACAATGTCTCCGCGCTCAAAGTCCACCGCAACATGGGATGAACTAATAACAGCACTGGAGTTTTCTGTGAGCGACTGACCCTTGCACCAACCCTTTGTCAACAGCTTCTCCCTCTGCGCCAGAACCAGATCCAGACTCACGCTGTTCTGTTGAACTCGTCTCCAGCTCCCGCACCACCGCGGTCGCTCCTATGATGCTCCTTTTCCGCCATCGACGAATCCTCCACCGTCGCCTCGGTGGCCGAAACCTCACCTTGCTTTGAGACTGTGCCCATTGCACCTTTCGGCATTCCTCTGCTCCTTCGCCTCTTCCACAGAAAGGCCATCATCGCGCCCAGAACGAACAGCCGGAATCTCCGCCATCTTCAGGCACCACCCTGCATGCTGCCCCAGTTCGCAACGCTGTACTCATGCTGACCAGGTAAATGTCGTCGGCTAGCTTGTGTAACAAAGTTGCAAAGTCTTTGCTGTTCGTGTCACACATGGCCTTCGGAGTGTATCCTGAACCTTCAAACCAACGTACTGGTTCATCCTGCAATAACCATGTTGGCCTTCGGTCCAACACAAGCAGCGCATGCATCTCCAAGCATCTCGTGCACATCCACTTCCAGATTCAGA